ATGTGGGAAGGAATGTCCGTGCGTCTTATGGACCGAAGGCAGCAATTTCGTCGCCGCTGGCCCCGTGGGGGGGAGTGCCGCAAAGGTCCGGGTGAGCCTTCCAGGACCCTTGCGAGGCTCCCCCACCCCCCCACGGGGCCAGCGCCGGCGAAATCGCCAGCTTCCAGGTGGGGGGAGCGTCGCAAGGGTCCTGGAAGCTCACTCAGACCCTTGCAACGCTCCTCCCACCCCCGCACGGGCAAGCACCGGCAAAATCAGCAGTTTCTGGGAGTGTTTTCAGGCTTCCCAAGCCTCAAAACACTCCCAGAAGCTGGCGATTTCCCTCCCTCTGGCCCAGCAGGGGGGGCAGAGGGGGCAAAATCACCACCTTCTGGGCCTCTTCAGAGGCTTCCCAAGCCTCAAAACACTCCCAGAAGCTGGCGATTTCCCTCCCTCTGGCCCAGCAGGGGGGGCAGAGGGGGCAAAATCACCACCTTCTGGGCCTCTTCAGAGGCTTCCCAAGCCTCAAAACACTCCCAGAAGCTGGCGATTTCCCTCCCTCTGGCCCAGCAGGGGGGGCAGAGGGGGCAAAATCACCACCTTCTGGGCCTCTTCAGAGGCTTCCCAAGCCTCAAAACACTCCCAGAAGCTGGCGATTTCCCTCCCTCTGGCCCAGCAGGGGGGGCAGAGGGGGCAAAATCACCACCTTCTGGGCCTCTTCAGAGGCTTCCCAAGCCTCAAAACACTCCCAGAAGCTGGCGATTTCCCTCCCTCTGGCCCAGCAGGGGGGGCAGAGGGGGCAAAATCACCACCTTCTGGGCCTCTTCAGAGGCTTCCCAAGCCTCAAAACACTCCCAGAAGCTGGCGATTTCCCTCCCTCTGGCCCAGCAGGGGGGGCAGAGGGGGCAAAATCACCACCTTCTGGGCCTCTTCAGAGGCTTCCCAAGCCTCAAAACACTCCCAGAAGCTGGCGATTTCGCCCCCCCCGACCCCCGGGGGGGCACGACGAGCCTTCAAAGGGCCCTAGGATGTGTTGCATAAGATCGACCTCTCCATAAGGCTCACCAATTTTTAGGAGAAGGAAACAAATTATTTTTTTCCTGTTTTCTTCTCCTAAAAATTTGGTGCGTCTTGTGGAAAGGTGCGTCTTATGGAGCAAAATAAAATGTGTGTTTGACTGGGGAAGTTGTCCCTTATTGCCCCCAATAGGTGTGTGCTCATTAGGCATGGGATTTTTGGATTTTTCCCCCACTGCAGCAACCAAAATTCAGCAGGACTCTCTCCCCCCACCAAATCTTAAGTTCACAGAGGAGTTTCAGGATCCTCACCTGTTCTTTGCCAAACCTCTCTCTGCAGACAGCCATTAAAACATGGACATAGGTGCAGCCTTCTAAGCTCCATGGGAACAGCAAAGCATCAGAGAAATTCTACTTTTGTTCAGATTTTAGCATTTTGTTACCACCACAATGGCAGAGGAAACTTTGGTGATTTCTAACAGTGTGAAAACCAACTGGTGCATGAACGGGGCTTATTGAAATGCCTTATAGCTGATCCAGAAATGCAGAAATATTCCTGTTCCCCTGATTTGAACATTTTTCTCTAAATTGGGTACACATCCCTCATTTCCATCATTTGTTTCTGTGGAAGAAATACCATAGAAATATTTCATTAATTGTTTTTATTATATTTTATCAGTCCTTCTTCCCCCCCCCCCTTTACTTCTGTAATGCAGGGTTCAGGTCAAAACATGTTGTGCACATAAAGTGAACAGCTGATGTGCTTTACCAGAACTTGAAAAAATTCCTTACAAGTAGTTAAGTCTAACTGTTAGTTCCAACAAGAGCAGACCTATTAAACCAATGAGACTTTGCTAAGTCAGCACTTGTGCAAGTTGCATTCATTAAATGGATCTACTGTAGTGGGGACAATCAGCTGTACTTAGCCTGAATTGCCTGCAATTAGTTTTTTCAATAAGTGGGTTTCATAGAAGCCAAGTATGATTAAGTAAAATAAAAATCGTAATTTAATGATGGACATTTCCCTTTTTTAAAAAAACTATTAAATACTTGCGTAGTTCTGCACATACAGCTTTTTTAGTGATGGGGAGGAATATCATATAGTTCAAATGTTTTGACTTGTACTTCCTGCTTTGTTATAGATTTTTGAGGTGATAAATGGATGGAAGCAGAGTCTGTTTTCTACGATAGCTACTGTTTGTAGCTTTCAGATCTTTTTTTAAAAAGTAATAAAAACAGGCAGCTTATGACTGGTGCAACAGGATACCTCTGCCAGAAATGTTGGGGTGAGGCTCTCCCCATCCCAGTCCATGAATCACCCTGAACTAAATGCAGTTGTTTAGTTTCTTTAGGGGAAAGAGAATATAAAGAATAACCATAACTGAAACATAATTATTTCTTGGGTCTGAAACTATAAAGTAACATCAACTAATTACACTTTAAAAATAACTTTCTAGATCTGGATCCAGCTCTTCTCAGAAGTGAGAAAAATACATCATGAACATTGTTGCAAGCATCTCTATTATCCCCCCCTTTTTTTTTTGGTTTGACTTTTGGATAAACTTGCTTTCTAGTGCCTTGCACTTTGAACCTGAAGGGCACGTCCTGTGTCCATAGTCTAGGATTTGAGTATAATCTTGTCCACCTATTCAGTTCACGACAATACATCTTTCCTTTTTTGCTTTTACAGAGGACTAATTCAAAATGCAATATTTCAGTATACTGCAGGGAAAAATAATATACTTCTTAAAATTATTTAAATTTTGCTGAAGATAATTGGTGTTCACTTTTGCTGTAGTAATTGTATAAAAGTAAAATATTCTGAAACATTCCTTAAAGGGTAGGGCAGAGATGGTAAATCCCTTTACAATAGGTGTTAGGACCTAGCCCTTCATCTACTGCAGCTGCTTGATAAACCCCCTCCAGCTTATCTGCAAGGAATAAGGTGCAGTGCAGTAGGAAACCTCCCAGTAGATGCTGAGGCTACTCATTCTCCCTCTTATCCATTTGCTTGCCCTGACAGCCCTCAACCAAGGTAATACACTAGCAGACCCAAAGGGAATTCTGCATATGGGTTTCTGACTTGAGTGTCTAACCCCGGTCAAAGTTGAAAGGTCAGATCAGCACAACTCTTGTTAGCCTACTGAAGGGGGAGGGGAGAAGCTACATAATGACTTCTTATTTAAACAGTTGATTGTTTACTGATTTCTACCTAATCGCCTTTACACATTTGCTCACCAGCATGGTTATTTGGTGCTGTGACAACTGCCTTTTCTCTCTCTCCCCCCCCCCAGCATTTTGTTCTGTTATTTATTCACAACTCAGTGATAAGTACTATTTAATTTGCAACTAATTGCAGCAACAGTTTTTCATTATTATAAGTGTCTTAGTTAGAATCCTCTTTACAATTCTGCCTGGAATGAACCTGATCAAAAGAGCTGATAGATCCACAGCAATAAAGTAGCTAACTGGCATTCTTGAAAGCTGTCAAGGTCTGGGATGTAAACTCCTTTGGCATTTCATAAACCATTCATTCTTCTGTATATAGTTCTTAAGATTCAAATTCTTTGCTCTTGTTTTTGTACTTTTGACCTTGAACATTTGGCAGAAGGAAGTCTCAGAAAGGATAATTAAAATGCTTGCTAGAAAGTAGTTGTTGAAACATACTAGTTGTTTATATTGTTTACATGTTACATTTTTCCCCATAGGGGACCCAGTGTGGCTCACAACAACTAAAACTACAAAACAATCAGTAGTTTCAAAGTACCGTATAAATACCGTATTAAAAACAATTAAACATGTATCAAGATTAAAACCAGTATTAAAAAACAATGTACACACCATTTCTCTATTAAAATAAATAAATAGGCTACAAAATCTAAAAATAAACAATAAAATGATGCAATAGAAAACATATATAAAGTAGCAGTGAAAGCAGATAAAACAGCAGCCAGAACACAAACAGCACCAAACTTACAGAAATGAACACAAACAGCACCAAACTTATAGACAAAATGTGCAGCATCTAAAATATATATGAGCTACAATTCTATAGTACAATAATTAATAGTAGCACATCACTGAAAGAGCTGGAATGAACATGCCAGTGGTGTATACACCACAAACATGCTTGAAAACGTGAGATAAAACAAGCTAGAAAGTATAGCTTTTAATAAGGTACTAAATTTCAGTGATGTGATTTAAATGCTTCTAGATTTCTCAAACTGAACACTTCTCATTTTACTACGTAATCGTTTAGTATTCAGTTGTGTATCTCTTCTTCACTTTCCCCAAAAGAGAATACATTCACCTTCACTCTCTCTGAACAGCGAATCAAAACTGAAATAGAAAAATATGTGTGATTTGCATTAGCCCTGACTATACCAGCAAAACAAATATTGAAAGTCACCAGTTTCTGAGGTTTTGAGTAGGTTTTTGCTCTGCAAAAATAATGTATTTATTTGCTTTTAGGCATTTAATTAGGCAGGAAGATTTAATAAAGATCATCCAAGCTTTTATTGTAATTTAATAAATTTTTATTCTTGAGGGACACAAACATTTCTTACAGTGACAAGGATGGGGAAATATTTGGCTGTTTAAGACTTTAGCCAGAACAGAGAAATATAATCCTGACAAATACTTGTTATTACTTGCCCACTTTTATACAGTAAAAATAGGTGTCACATAGTTAATCCTATATGTTGAGCTAATTCATCTTCATTTGGGGGGTAATTCTATATTTTTCCTTTACTTTAGAGAACTCCTGCTGTTCTTATGTTCTTGATAAAGAAGGGCTAAGATGGGAAAAATAAAAGGAGCTGCTGCAGATTGTCAGAGATTAAAAAAAAGATTTATTTGACTATTGCACCCATGCAGCTTAATAAAAGACTTTGGGACACCCATAGAAAAATGTGTATAGTTTATCTCAAGACTCAGTTTATAACAAACAAATGCATGAATAGATAGATTCTCACATGTTGTTATCCTTTTTTCTTCCCTAATCAGGACAGAATTTTACCCTAAGGCAGTTAGGAGTTTGTGAACCAGCAACTCGAAGAGGACTGGCATTCTGTGCTGAAATGGGGCTCCCCCACAGAGGTTACTCTATCAGTGCAGGGTCAGACGCTGATACTGAAAATGAAGGAGTGATGTCTCCAGAGCATGCCATGAGACTATGGGGCAGGGGGGTCAAATCAGGCCGCAGTTCCTGTCTCTCAAGCCGTTCCAACTCAGCCCTCACTTTGACCGATACTGAACATGAAAACAAGTCTGACAGTGAGAATGGTAAGTTCATCTGTGTACCCTTTTAAAAAAACCCAACTATTTAAATGTTTGTATTTCATGTAACTTAATTTTTTTTAAAAAAATATGAGCATTCTGAACATTAATAATAAATGAGTTTTGAAGCCAACATCCACTAAAGCTGATCGCTGATGTTGCTCTGATATAGGCAAAGGAAATGTTTTAGCTGTGTTTGATTCACCTTGGTCTGCACCATCCAGTTACCTCTGTGGACAGACTAAGATAGGTAAGCAAGAGGTTGCTGAAGCTTATTCCAAAGAGTGTCTTGTGCTCTTTGTAAATTCCTTTAAGACATCTAGAATAAGTTTTTGAATCTTAAAGTGGTTCAATGAGTTCACAGAATAACTTAGAAAGGAGGCTCAAGTGACTGAAGAACAAATTTGTTTATGCTTTAAACTTGCTGTTTAATGAGAGGAGATAAAATTGTTGTGAAACAGGAAGAGTGCACTTCGTCTGCACAAGCAGCTCATAATCTAAATAGGGAGTGGATCTCTTTTCTGCCATTTTATAATTATGTGACCCCACCACCATTCAGACTATGGACAGCTTGTGCAAGGGAACACACATTGTATGCATTTCAAAACCTTGTTACTGGAAAGTAAGTTCTAATTTATATTTCTGTTTCATGATAAACATGTTTTCTTCCAGATATGTATCCCAGTTGGTCTCTGGTAGAAACTTATGTTTGTCTCCACACCTATCAGTAAAAACTTGTCCAATTTTGTTAGAATTAGAAGGGTTTCTTAATGTGTAAATCAGCACACTACTCCTTTAATAGAAGCATGGCATGCCAGAATTGAGCTGGTGAAGCTTTTTCTATTATGGAGGAATGAAAAAAGTTGAGAAAGCTGTGGAGATTTGAAGTTGGGTATGTGTGTCTGAAAACATGAAATATTCAAAAGAATATTTCAGCCTGATGATGTCCCAGAAGAAAAGTATTATGAGAGAAGTAGAGGATTTCACTTTGTAAATACTGTACTGTAGCATCATTTATTTATTTAAATATATATTTATTCAACTTATATGCCGCCCACCCTACCGAAAGGTCTCTGAGCAGCTTCCAACAATTAAAATATAATAAAAATACAATAAAAAGATAAAACAATTAAAATACAATTAAAATAGATACTCTAAAATTGCCATCAAGACCCACAGTTGATATTATTTCAATTAAAAGCCTTCTGGAACAGGAAGGTTTTTACCTGGCGCCGAAATGTCATCAGTGTCAGCGCCAGACGAATCTCAGTCGGGAGGGCATTCCATAGTCTGGGGGCAGCTGCCGAAAAGGAACTTTGTCTACAAGCCATCCCTCTTACCTCCTTGAGGGATGGCTGTTTCAAAAGGGCCCCCTGGCTTGATCTTAACTGTTGGGTAGGCTCATATGGAAGGAGGCGGTCCTTCAGGTATCCAGGTACCAATCATGAGTGACACAAGAAGGGTAGACCCAAAGCAATGCAGGTTTTGGTTACATGTAATTTTGCTCAGGGATTTAAGATAGCTACCAGTGCAAGGCCAGCAAGACAAGGAGTCCCTTCTTCCAGTGCTGGGCAGTCCTGAATAGTATGCCTGCTGACTATGCAATAATGCATAGAATTAGGTTCTTTTGCTTCCTCAGCCTGCAGAAGTATTTTACAGAACATTATTTATTTCTGCCTTTAAAAATCACCTGTGTAACAGCATCTGCTACATTGGGAAAGCTCTCTACATACTGTGATTACCTGCAACAAATTAGTGTGCTATACCTAGACCTGACCTTATATATTTCATATCCTATGGTGTTAGCTAGTTGAATGGCCTTTTCACCTAACAGACCTTACAGAATTAGTGTGACAAATGAGCTAGGGAGAAGAGAAGCAAGCAGAGGATTAAGGTGATTCTGTAATGATGCCCTAAAATGTGGCATAAATTTGTTTATTATGATGTAATATTGTTACCTCAAGTAGCTGATGACTGGGGTAAATTTCTTGTTACTACATCTGTGTTTTGCACCTAAATACTTGTTGTGAAAGAAGTAAAAGTTTTCATTAAGTGATCTGAATGTCTCATTTTCATGCAAGGAAACATTTATGTAAATCAATTTTCACATAAAAAACAAAAATGTAAGTATTTTCTCTGAGATGATAACTTTTGACGTTTGAATGTTATGAAGTGATAAAATTAATGTGTGCTACATCAAAAACAAATGTGTGAACTTACTGTGGCCACAAAAGCTTTCCGTATCTTTGTGTCTTCTGAAATATCCAGGAAAGCAGACTCTTTTTAAAAAGAAATACAGACGTTGTCCTTTTTTTAAAATCAGTTTTGCTTTGTTCGTATTGACAATCCATTCTTAAGAAGATCACACAAAAATAGATGGCACTGATTCAGATGAAACAAATCCATTTGAGCTTGGGTTGACCATAACTTTGTCTTTTAGTTCTCTCAGATTATTATGGTGATTTAGGGTCTTTCTGGATAACAGCCTTATTGTACAACAGTTGCACAGTTACTGCTTAATTGTTTCCAGAAATTAAATGACGTATACCAAAGTAGTCTTCGTGGTCAGAAAACATGATTTTATTGAAAATATAGAAAGAGCAACCTCTATTTCTGGCAATATGTAGAACCCTGCCGTGGTCCTTGTCAAGCATGTTTTCTGGTGTGCGGTGTGCAGAATGTGACATAAGCAACAGACTGATCCACAACTTTGCAAACCATAAACAGTGCTCCAGTTTCTCTTTCCTTCTTAGCAATAGGACTACTAAGTTCACATACACTATGGTTGTTTCTGCTCATCTCTGAAACATAATTTCAACATTACAGCTAGAGATTACTGCATGTGTAGTGCTAAAATACTATATTCTTTTTTTAAAGGAAGGCCTAGGAGGAGTCTTTTTGAACCTTTAATGTCATAAGAATGAAGGAGGAAATAAAAGCATGAACAGCCTATGAAGCACCAAAATATTACAAGAGATAATTGTATATTCCAGTATCTTGGAAGAGTAGTGGTATTCTGGAACTCTAAGCCAAAGTAGACAAAAATTAGTTGTGTGAATGCTACAAACATGCATATTGTTGTTACATAAATAGTAGCAGAGAGACTGATTAACGTTGACATCATGGGGCTGGCTTAAAAGAAAAACCTCTTCTTGTTTACTGTGCTCCTGATGAAAATCTCCCCCCCCCCATGGTTTTTTTTTTTTAAAGAATACTGCATTGGCACCTATTGATGCTTCTCCCCTTAAAAAGGATCTTGGGATGCAATGATTTTTCATTTGACTGTTGAAAGGAGGTGAAATTTAAAATCTTCCCTATATTTTGCATTCCTTTGAATCAAATCTGGTTTGATTCTTTAGGATGGGCTCATTTGAAATTTATAAAGGACTGACACTTGTGATAAGAGCTTTCTATTTGAGAATGTACAAATTGAAATCCGTCAGGGTGATTTCAACTTGCTTTTTGGTTTGTAGTCTGTAGGTTACGAAGTCATTAGTAAGAATAGGAGAGAAGACTCTTTCGTACTATGAATAGGTCTAGCTCAGTGTACAGACTGCATGTCTGTGATGTTTCTGGATGACATATAAGGAATAGCAGTCTTAACTAATTTTTCTTGAAGTGTATGTTCTTTTTTATTATTTTAAATGCATAGCATGTGCCTAAATAAATTAACAAAGCAGTGATTAATATAAGTTAAAGAGAAGATTGTCTGCTTTCAGGTATTAACTTTAAAAAAAGAGCTTAGCTACTTCAGAAATACCTTTTAGACCATTTACTAAAAACTAAACATGTGGCGATGGCACATTCCCTACTCCTGTCAGAAGAACGGTGAACAGATTTTTGAAGGCTGTTCACTGTTCTGGGACTGTGACCAACTGCCAGTCTCAAGGTAGTCAGATCAGCCGGCTGTCCACTCTAAAACTGGTGCTGCTAAATGCCAGGTCTGTGTCCAATAAATCCCAGGTTATCAAAGATCTTATTCTGGAGGAGGATGCAGACCTGGCATGTATAACTGAGACCTGGATGGGCAGGGAAGGGGGAGTTCCCTTGACCCTGGCCTGTCCTCCTGCTTATGTCTCTTACATCTGATACCATCACTTCCTAAGCTGTTTTGGAGTGTCCCTGAACCCTCTAAAATAGATATTTATAGAATGTGGGAGACTGCAGTGGGAGGAGGAATCAATGAAAAATCACTGTGTTCTTCCTTCTGGCAAAGGCATTATTCTCTGTTCTGGGATTCCTTTGCTATATCAGAAGATGTGCATTGATGAAAGTTATCCTTTACCTGCTTGGGGAAATGTTTGGAACCAGCATACAGTCCTCAGGATTTCCATATACATACTGAGAGATAAAGTCCTATATAGAAGTGTTTTTGTGCTGTTTCACTCATACTTGTAGACTCGCAAGAGTGTTGTTTCAGTTTTCCGTCACGTTTCTGAAATGGACACATTTAGCTTTGAACGGTTGATTCAGGTTCTTATTCTTACCCATATGATACAGGATCACAATATAGTCAATTTGTAGTGAAACTCATCAAGGGAAGGAGCCATTGCAGTTTGCATCGGAGCGTCCTATAGATCTTCTGTCAACACATTCTTCTTCAGACACAAAGAAACCCACCAACCTTTTTTCAGTTGAAAATTGATATTTGTTCCACTGATTTCTTTTTCTTTAAGCCAAGGCGTAATCTCCTTCATGGAGCACCAGTTTGAGCCCGGTGACCTTACTTCAATTATGTCTCCCATGTACCCATGAACAACTGCTTTCTGCAGTGCTGTGCCATCTTATCCCATTAATCAAGATCTTGATCTATTAAGAATCCTTCCCTAGTCATCCAGTTACTACAGTAAATATCCTCCTCTAGAGAATCTGCTGCAAAGCTCTGTCCACTTTATGTAGAGTTTTTCTGATGCAATGTATGACTTTCTGCTGTATCTGTACTGTTATTCCAGTGCTTAAAATAGGTTTCACAAAAATCACTATGCTTTCTGATGCTTTCATTCATT